TGTACAATTTCCATAATCTGGTTTCTCAACATGACGTTGGGATCATATGGAATTCCTACAGGCTGATTAACCGGTTGATTTGCATGAGGCCTGATGTTTGGTCCTTGATTGGCAACAAAATTACCATAATTAGGGCCATTACCATTAGCCTGAACATCTGTTCCCTCATTAACACGTGGGGTGTACTGTCCATTGTTTAGGACATTATCTCTTATGTTTGGATTACCCCCCAAGTTAGGCATACTACTACCATTGTTCTGATTTGGCACTGTAGTACCCCCTTGGTTTGAAGTAGAGGGACCAGAAAGTGATTCTACCCCTTTATTCGGATTTAGGACCGAGGGATTATGTCCCACAATTGTCCTAGTTTGAAAGTGGTTTGTAAGAGGTATAGCCGGTTGACATATTTGGCCTACTAACTTATTCATTGTTTCATTCAACGTCTTTAGTTGTTTGGCCATGTTGTCATAGTGTACATTCCCATTTTGTGTAAATCTTTCCATATTATGAATACTTCGAAGATTTACCTGTTCAACGAAGTCTTGCGTGAGTTCTCCAAGTAATGCACGCATGGTTCGAGGACTCAACTCCGTCATTGGTTCGTAACGACTGTTACTGCTCTGGTTCTGTCCATCTGTTCGTGGAGAGGCACGCTGCTCCTCATATCGCTCGATCACAGACTGGATTCCTTCCTGACTTGCTGCTTCCTTATTGGATCTCTGAGGTATATTGTTTCACCTTTTGTACTTTCAACACCTAACACCACTGTCACACTGGACGTGCCAAATTGTTTCACGCGGGTTAGTCGCTAACAATTAAAAAGGATCAGACGATTGTGTAAGGGACAAATCTCTTGAGACAAAGTCCCAAAAAGGGGTGTTCTTTTATTGGCGATGACTTTACAATTCGAAATTAAAAACAACGTGCCTCCAAGGGGCGCAAGCACACGAGTTACTGAAAGAAAAGTGTTTAAGTCTAAGCTAAGGAAATGAAAATTACATGTTCTCTGTTCGAGAGTTTTTGATTCCGTCCCTTGCTTCTATGTCCTTTCTCCCTTTTATACTTTATGGACGATCTCTTTGTGATCAACCGCCCTAAAAACTGCTTGATCGTCCTATAACTGCCCACTTTCCTCGTAATGGCCAACTTGTCATGAAAACTGACTTTTTTAACTGCTGCCATTACTCTTCATCGTTCAAAAGCTTTCGATTGAATTCCTTGAATCGTGGAACGTGATAGGGCTGCTTTAATAACTGCTTTGATAACTGCACTTCTTGATAACCACGATGTTTTATGTTTGTTAAGACCTTGGGCGACTTGAAGGTTTGGGCGAGAATAGAGTAACAGCTCTAGGCGACTGTATGGCACTCCATTCGCTCAGATTCTGGGCGACTTGCAAACTTGGGCGATGGTGTTACCGCGTTCTTGGGCCTCCCTATTTGGGCCTTCATCTTGATTTGTTTGATTGGGCTTCGTTCTTTGGGCTATCCGATTTGGGGATCCTTCAATTGGGCTTCACTCCTTGGGCCGTTCGATTTGGGCTGAATTTTTATGTGTCAACACAGAGTTTGAAGGTCTCCGGGCCAATCCATTGTCGTCCCCGTCCCTATTGATGGTGGTGGTGAATGGTGGTTTGTAGTGAAGGTGGCGACGGCGTACAAGTGTTACCAGTTTATGTTACAATTATAATGTTTCAACGATTTTTGTGGTAGCAATGGCGAATGTGAAATGTTCGCGAAATATTTCTTTCGATTTAAATTACCGTAAGTGTACGGGTCATGACAAGTAATAAAATGGACTTTAGAAGTCCGAGTATCGTCCCACAGAGAAAGAATAGTTCAATTTTACTTATTTTAGCCTTAACCGAAACTAATTGAGTTAAAATGAATTTTGGAATCAAAAACCCTAATTTTGGGAGAAATCCCCAAATTGAAAAACCCTAATTTCAAATCAAACTCTAATTACTTAAATTCACTTAACTAATGACTCAATTACGAAATGTTATGAAAAATAAATGAAATGTATTGTCAATTTATGAAAATCTATGTAAAACGAATGCACTAGGATCACGAATCCCCAAATAATTACTAATTAAATCCTAATTTCACAATTTTGATAATTCAATAAGAATTTGATAAATCAATGCTCCTAAATCTATTCAATACTCTCTCTCGAGATGTATTGAACCTATTCTCATAAATCATCAGCTTATATCTCTATGACAGATGCAATTATACAAGAACGCATAAAATCTTTTCGTGAGCAATTAAAGATTTACATAGGGCATAGGGGTATATTTCTATCCCCTATTGGACCCTATAATGAATTATATATGTCGAGTTTAATCTAATTTTCTCAAATTCAGAATTAAACCACCAAATTCACACAAATCAAGTGCACATTAATTGTGGAAATAAATAAACCAATATAATCCATTCAAATATCCCATCGAACTAATAATTTAAAATCATGAAATAGCAAGTTTAATAATAATTACATGGTTCATCGATCACCTAGTTGCAAAAATCTAGCCTATCATGATAAAAATAACGAAATCTAACAAAGTATAAATAAAATACATCACCGGATTATCAAAACTTGAATAAATCTTCTAAATCTTGCATCAATTCTTGTTCTTGCTTTCAAATCCACTCCAAGATGAATGTTTTTGGCTCCCAAGTCGTTCGTGCGGCTTCTGGATGTCTTGTTGCTATTTAAACCCGTCCAAATTAGGTTACCAAAGGAGTTGCAATCATATAAGGAAACTACAAAATTCGGGAAAAAATTATACCCATGCGACCGCATAGGCTTAAGAAAAATGGCGTTTTTAATCCCTGGAGGTTCACTCGCGACCGCATAGTAGAGCTAACTTCTAGTTTGAGTCATTTTGGTCCTCAAGTTTCATTCCTTCACTCCTTGACCTCCTCTTTTGTTCCTAGTTGCTCCAATGTTCCCTTATAACTTCCAATTGGTGCTTGGCTTGATCAATTGCTTGATGTGCTCATCGGGTTAACTTTCAAATAATTGCAATCTGGTCCCTAAATTTTCATTTTGCTCCAATTTGGTCCTTTTTCGGCTCTTTTCTCCTGAATTCCACTGTTTCCATAGAATTTCCTACATTGCATGAATTTGACAAAGTTAAGTAACAATTCAATCATTTTACTTGTATTTAAGTCATGTTTGTAATGTAAATAAGTGTGCAAAAACACAGTTATCATGAAACACAATTCATTACAAGTGTTAGTAAAGTGAATTTAAAGAATTTGAATTATCATTCTCACAAGGACCGTGTTATGCAAAATTGACCCAATAATCTTAATCACTTATTTGAATACATACAAAAAATCAAATAGGGAATTGTTGTTTCAACTAATTGCTAAATTATTTCTATAAAAAATGAACGTTGACAAAGTTGGTTTTAAAATTAAATTGATGTAAAAAAATGTCCACGATTAACGATTTCATCATAATTTTGCTTGTGATTTTTTTTCTACGAAGCAAAGAAATTAATTGACATGCATATCCTGACGAATTTCTCCAAATTATAAAAATATTTCTCGAGTAAAACCAATTCTACTTCGATAAACTTGGCAAGCACATGAAAAATATAATTCATATTACAGTGAAATATTAATTATATGCATGTTTAAGGACAACGGAACAAAGGTGTAGTATTTTAAGTTTTAAAAAACGTCGTTACTTAGTCAAACAGTGACAAGACTCTAATAGAAATAGAAGTTACTGCAATCGTTACAAAGTGCAATATTACTCTCACCATAACCCAATTAACTAATTACAAAAATTGAACCATATGGCCGAAGAATAGGTCTTCATTAACATAATCAATAGGCCAGTGAAATTGTTTATGATTGACTTACAAAAAGATATTGTTTATGAATGTGAAATTTATAAACATAATTAATAGGACTGTGATAAGACACATTTTTCATGAATTAAAAAAATAAAAAATAAAAAGAAGAAGAAAAATTGAATTCATCGCTTACTAAAATGCCATTGGTAAATGGTACACGTATTAAATAACAACATTAGACACAAAATATTCATTGGTAAAGATCTACAACCTTCGCCAATGGAAATTTCATTAGTGATTTTCATAGTTGGAAATTTATTATTTTTAGCAATGGATACAATCTGTTAATAATTATCTGTAGGTAAAAAATTGATAAGAATCCGTGTAGTTGGAATTGATTTTTGAAAATATTTTGACTACATTTCACCTTTTTGACTTTTAATAACACCCAATTGACTCCTAGAAGTATTCAATTATTGTTTTGTGGTCCGAATCAACTATTGAATATTTACAATTTAGTCCTCAAACTTTGAATTTCTTCCAATTTCACTTCAATCACTTAGTTTTACTTTTACCTAACAAATGATAAATATGCCAGATTAGGCTATAATTCATCAAAAGTAATATAAAATATCCTAATTTAATAACCTAGATAAGTGTACCACAACAAGCATGGAAAATCAGAAATGGTAAGGAAGAAGTTGTCACGCACACATCTCTACGTACATTTATAAATTCCCCCATAATTTTTTTTTTTTTTTGGGTATAATGTAGTTAATGGTAAGACTATGCATTGGGACATTCCAACTATGTTGAAACTACACCATCGTCCTTGGCCTAACTCAACAATTTATTCTTAAAAAGGTTAAAGTAAACCAAATAAATGGTTTTCGGGGCACAATAACAAGCCCAACAGCCAATAAAAGAAATACCCTAAACACAAAAACTAAACATAAACAAGTCTAAAAACTAGTGAAAACTGTTGTTACATAGACTACGAATGACAAAAATACCCAACAAACTCGATACCATGGGTACCCGCTCTAAACAAGACGGGGATTACCCGCTTAAATGAGTAGGCGGGTCAGGAATTCTCGCCCCAAGGGGGGTACGGGTAGCGCCCACCCCACCTGACCCGTTTATTTTTTTTTTTTTTTTTTAAAAAATTAAATTTTTTAATTTAGTCCAATTAATAATCATAAAGGTTAAACTTTATTCATGTTTTATTACATAGAGCTAAGAGCTCCATTTTATTATTAAGCTTTATTGATGCATCACATAGATGAAATACAAAAGAGTAACACAACTTCTTAAGCAAAGGACTTTTGGTTGTTACAATCCAAATTAGGGCCATAGCCAACTCCAAGTAAGTCACAGTATCTCTTGTAGAAGCCAATCCTGTCTTCCATTTGTGGGTTCGAACCTTTACCGCATTCAATTCCACCATTGATGATGTTGGTAACGACACCATAACCAGGCACCCGTCCAGCGGCTGTGTCTGCGGCCGAGGGTTTCCATACCCCACTCATTGCATCGTGGCACGAGGGCTTTGGCGCTTGTGGTGTCATCCAAAACCAGAATGCAGTTTTGAATGAAATAGTTGGGTCATTTGCAACTGCATCTGGATCGTTTAGCAGATCAGACCCTATTGCTTTACCTGCTGGACCATAGTTGTAATTGCTGCAATTCAAGAAATTAAGGGTGCTAGTTATTTGGAGTACAGACGAGCCCTTTATTTTCAGCTGATCGATACTAAAAGAATTATGACATGTTCGATAAGCAGTATTGAACAACATTGTATAGATCTTGTCGAGTGGTTTTCTAGTACTGAATGATAAACATATTTGTGTTGTACATGATACTTACTAGGAAATCTGGATGGGCCCTCGACCGAAGTATTTTTTACCAGGAGCACATGGCCATTCCTGGCTTGCAACACAATAATCCGGTGGATTGCCTTGTTCTTGCTTGTAGCAATATCCCCATGAATATGGACCATCTGGTGCAGAAGCCCATCCGCCTAGTAATTCCAAGATCAAATTAATAAAATATTGTTTCGAACACGAAGGGTACGCTTATTACAATGTTCAGAGATGACTGGATATGTCTAGTCCGCTTATAAAACATGCATGCATATGCAGGATTTAAATATATAACCTGTAGTTTCATGAGAAGTTTGAGCCAAGAAGGCAGCAATTTCTCGTTTTCGAGTATCAGTATCGCCTGTGGTTCCGAAAGCTCCAAAGGAGTTAGCAGCAGCTATGAAAGCTTCATAAGTGTAAAAACCATTTGCAGGGCAATTTCCATCATTGCGATGCTTCAACATTTCATCGAAAAGGGATTTGCTTATAATCGAATCCACTCCTCCTTGAGCCCATGCACCCATAAGGGATGAGAGACTCAATAAAACCAATACCAAAGTTTTCATTTTGTTACCAAATTAAATGTAGTAATTTCTCAAGTTGTGAGTTTCAGTGTAGGGGAATTTAGGGTTTATATAGGGGAGAGGGATAGACTTTTCCACAAAATTTGATAAACTTATTGATTAAAATCAAGGCTGCTACCACAGTTTCGTGATAAGTGCAACAATGAGTTCATATGAGTCAAAAATCATGACAACTTAGTCATACCTTCATCTCTCGTACAGTCATGATCAATACTTGACTTAGCAACATGATTAATGGTCTAGTCTATAGAACGGTATAATATTAATGTTCATTTAACTAAATTATTGACCCTATTGTGATTGGGAGTTGCAGAATTATGCAATGTGTAGAGAATTTTCACAGAATTCACTGGCAGCATCCAGTTAAAGAATGCCAAAAATAAAATAAAATAAAGATCAACCAGAATACCAAATGTTGATATCATATTTCATGTGTGAATAGGCTTAAAATAGTAACTTAAAAGTTTACATATGAATAAATAAGAAAGTTGAAAGAATTTTTCTGCTTGTACAAAAGCACAAGTGCCAGAAGGTTTGACGAGGTCTCGTAACATTATAGAAAAAAGGCTCTTTTCTCATCTACTCAGGGTCTTCTAGTTGGGTTAAAATTCTCATTTCTTCCTTTAAAGTAGTATATTTCGCTTTCCTGCTGGTTAGAATTAAATCAATAAAAAAATGAACTAGACAAGAGCATTTTTGGAGAACTAGTAATTTTTTCTATGATGTTTGGCAGAAATAATTAACGCCGTAGAAAACGGGGATAGGAAATAGTTAGGAAAGAATTGGAAATTATGGTCTTGTCAGTGTCATTAATTAATTGTCCTGGTCAAATACAATATGAAAGGGTTCCAGATCTAAGTTATTAATTGTGAACAATTAGAATCGATCAAACCAAGTGATTTTGTATAGTGCTAATAAAAATTAAATTCGAAAATGTACTTCAACTGAAAATCAAATTGCAAATATTATTAGCCTAATTTACTTCTTTGACATCCTCAAAAATAATATATGAAAACTCATCAATTGTCGAAACCTCAAACAATTAAGATTGGTGTACAGAATTTTTTTTTACAGAATGTGTACATACTCTCATAAAGGTATGGGTCCCACTTGAATATATAATGTTAAAAAATTAACCCACCCATCTTCCCCCCACCTCCCATGTGAGTTGTTGGTAAAACTTCTGTCAACGCTTAATCTGTACTCCAATCATCACTCAACCTCAAAAGGGACGCATAAGGCTGCTAGTACAATTTCCTAATATGTGTAATCATTACTAGTCAAGTATTGTGGCTACGCGTAATCGAGAACAAATTATTCCTATACAAACTTCTTATCTCTTACACGACTTGTCATGTATGGCAATGGTTAAGTCAACATTAAGTTAAACTTAATTTTAAGTGAATTTTATATCTAGCCAAGTTTGAAATTATTTCTATTTCTATTTATACTGGTGATATAGGTCGTTGAGCAATCGAAAAGTTAATACAAGTAAATTCAGAGTCTGTTCAATTCTCATTAATTGGGGAAAAATGAGCTTTGAATAGTATTTTTAGAAGAATGTGTAGTTAAAATGTAGGGAAAAGTTTTTGATATACGTGTAGAATATTTTATAATGTAAATATCTAGTTGAAAATGATCGTGCGGCTAACCATAAAATAAATTAATGGATGTCAAGCAAGCACTCAATTTTTGGGACCAGAAGCAGTTCTTTGCGTACCAAACAATAGCTTATTGAATCAATTGCAACACTAATGGAAATGCATACTATGAAAGATAGGATTTAGTCCAATACATAAACCATTTATTCAATATCTTTGTACGAGTCCACAATCACTACTACACAAGATGAACCAAGGTTTGGTGAGCTCAAGTAGGACTCAAGTGTAGTTGAACTCCAAATTACTCCTTTCAATCTTATATTGGGGTGCTCCGGCCTGCTGGTTGTTGAATCTATGCGAGCCACGTCAGGTTTAATACAAAGATGGACATGCGAGTCTAGATCTATTTTGAGAATGAAAAGGGTTATTTTTAAATTATTAACTTGTTCAACATTAATCAAGAGAAAAATATATTTTTTGAGAACTTATTTTTGTTTATTCATATATAAACATACTTATAAGTTAATTTCTAAGCTTAAATAAATATGCAATGGACCACTATTGAAGTAATGTTGATTGGCCGAAATGAACGCGGAGGAAAATGTTCACTCTTATCAACTTAAGAAGGAAATTGGAATTATTAGTATTGACAATCTCATTGTCTTTATAAAATCGAATATGATAAATTTCTTACCTCCAAGAGTCCCACATGTGTGTGTGTGTTTTTTTTTAAGTTCATTGTATATGCTCACATATTTTGGTTTTGCCTCAAAACACTACCTTGATGTTTCATTTTGAAAATGAGATAAAATATCTTGTCCAATCACAAAGTCTAGACATAAACCCAACCATGTGCTTTGTGGAACCCAAACTCTAACAAACATGGTTAGTATTTATTATTTTCCTGGTGTGACAAGACATTTCGAACGATTCCATGCTAGAACAATGCTCTTGAAGCATGTTGCAAAGGCATCTACATGCACATTAATTGATGACTTCACTGTTAACCACTGACATTACGCATCGTGTTCCTTCGTTTAAATCAACGTCCACCATCAAAAGACATGCAACATCACTCTATATAAAAATTACATGTTAGAAGAGGATGAAAGTAATCAAGAAAAACTAATAGAAGTAGATAGAAGTCAATTTAAGGTAATCTTTAAAAAAAAAAAAAAAAAAATACACACACATACTTTAACTATGTGTTTACATTTGCTTATTTTATTGGACTTCTGGCCGGCAAATGTGAATGTTAATACCGAATATTGAATTCTCAGTTTTTGCATATGATGGAATATTGTGCCAATAATTATTTATTGAAAGCTGGTACATGCACATTCATTTTGTAGATTAAGTTTGATATTCATGATGTGTCAAAATTATTGACATTGAATTGATTAAGGGGCCGTTTGACATAACTTTTGCTTCTTGTAAAAGAGTTTTTGGATGAAGCTATTTTAATTTTTGTTTGAAAACTAACATTTAAAGACTTTTTATTTTTTTATTTTGAATCAACTTCCTCTAAAAACTCTTCTAACCACCAAAAGTAGTTTAACAAAATTAGCCAAATAGTTTCAAATTGACTTTTCAAAAGTCATGCCAAACGGGCTCTAACACTTAGTCAAATCATGCCCACAATTTTGACACATTACGGGATGGATATCAAATTAACTATACAAAAAGAATGTACTACTAGTTTAATTCTTATTTTTAATGTGTTTGTCAATATTACATAATCAAATGCTAAATTCTCAATGATTGCAAAGGATGTGCCAATGTGTTAAGACAAAAGCACAAAAATAATAATTAGAAAAAAAAAAAAAAAAAGACTTTCACGATAACTTTAATTAAGGAAAAATTATACATCAATAACGAGTTTTTCGCACCCTAGAAATTTTGGGTTAGGATTTGTATCAATTGATAAATATATGTCTCTCCAAGATGCCAAGTTTGCGCCTAAAGAAGAAAACTATTCCCTAATCTCTCATCTCCAAGAAACAAGAAACAAGATTGCCAAAGGATATGGTGATGTCATTTTCCCTATAATCAGAAAACGAAACAAGAAAAATTGCAGAGGATATGGTGAGGTAGCATCAAGGAACATTTGTTAATGAGATTTCATCATTTGTCCCTCAACTGCTAACAATATTATTCCAAGTTTTTAATAAACTATTACAGTCTATACTTTCATTTCCATTAGAAATTTTGGTCATTCATTTATAATTTGGAGCAATCAATCACTTATCGTTAGTTTAATTAATATGTTCACTGGAATATTACAACTAATGGATGGATGGATGGATGGATGGCGTATAAAAATATTCATACTTATTTAGAAGCATTTTTTTTTTTAAAGATAGATATTATTTATTATTGTGTGACTTAGACAAATGTTTTATCATTTTTTGCATATCAGTTTATTACATTAGTTAAATTGATGAGACAATGAACCATTATGAATGACAATTTGAATCATAAAACTCGATCCTTGCGATGCCCCGATTCAAACAAGGCGGAGATGCCCTTCTTAATAGGGTCAATATGTGGTTTCAAAGCAAAAAAATTGCTACCTCGTGGAGGGACGTGCGACGGGGTGACGATGTGTCACTTGTTTGCTCAATTGTTGCAAATGAGAATTGATTTTTTTACGGTTACGAGAAAAGTGGGTTCATCTGTGAGAGAAAAAGTCAAATATAATGTCTAAAATAGTAAAATAACGATCAAAAAATCAATTTTTTTTGCCAAAAAATCACTCCCAAACAAACTGCATATTTGATAGCAAATCAAAGTAGAACAATTGAGTGTACCAAATTCAAGACGGGTGACCCAAATGCAATTCTGCCTCAAAAAAATTGGATGACCGAAGTGCATTTAATTTCCACGTATACAGATTAACTATATCTCCCACGGCCACCTCTCTGCCATTTGGTTTCTCCGACGGTCCGACTCAACAAAAATACTATGGCAACAGCGACGCTTTCATCACCATTTCGTCACCTCATTCACGACTCGAATGTAAGAACGCTACTCGTTGTTGACTATTTTTCCTTTCATTATAATCATATTCCAACAAATCGAACAAAGATGTATTAATCGTTTTGCTCTGGGTATATCAATAATTGCTTCAACTACTGTAAAATATTTGTCTGCAACTGTATGAATATTCGTGCTGTTAATGTATTTGTAGAAGCTCGGGTGTTACGTCTGTAGAATGTGTGGTTATGTGAAGTAGTTTTTTATTTTTTATTTTTTATTATGTTTTTCTTTAAAATTTTTCGGGATGCAGTATGAGAACGGAAAGATGAATGTTATAAAAAGAAAAATAATGTCACTTTATGCCAGTGTGATGTGTTCTTTCGGTTAGGAATCAAAAGCACGCTTATTTCAGAAGAATGGATGTGTGAAAATTGGGAAGTTCTAATAGGATTACAATCAGAAATTTGAATTCAGTTATTTAATTTTAAAAAGTTAAAAAATAAAAAGGCGTTCCATTTGATATCTACGCCCTCATTATAAGTGGTCAAGATAGAGTTGACTGTTTCTAGGCTTTTGTTTTGCCTTGGTGACAAGACTCTTCAGTGCTTTCTTGTGTGTTTTCAGTTCATTTTATGTTCTCATTGCCACAGCATGTTGCTGTCAGGAGTCTTCCCAAGTATCTCAAAACCGGTGGTGTTGCAGCGCAAGTCAAAATTTATTCTAGGACAATAATTACTTGCTCGAGGTAATAATTTCTTTTAGTTTTCACGATAAAGTGGCTCAAGAAATGGTCATGAATTAGGAGCATTTTCATTTATTTTTTTACTTTTTGTTTATTGACAGAAAAATTTGGTAGGATCTTTAATTGCCCAGATTGTGCAATATTTTGTGGTAATGGCTACTGGTGCTCAAATTCAATGCTTACAATCGACTATAACTATGTCTGAAGGATATATATATATATATATATATAGCTGAAGCTGTAATGTTCAACGATGCCGTAGAAATAATAGAATTGGCAATGTAAAATTCCCATTCCCATCCCCATCCCCAGCCCCCACACAAACACAACAGACGCACACGCACATTTTCATACTAGAGCTAAATAGATTTAGTACCAGAACTAGTCAAAGTTTAATATCGGATGATGCGGAAGCAATAATATTCTACTACTGTAACATGTTTCCATTGCAGCATTACCCAAACCAGCACTTGTAGCAGGATATTAGCACTGCAACTCCCTTGGTCATTCCACAACAGCGTGACCATTGACGTAGTTTATACTGGCGATAAATGTTATTTCATATAAAAAATAAAGTTGAAATTTGCACTAATTTGATATTCCTTGCTTGACCACATATTTTACTCTTAGATGAATAGTTGTATACTATTTCATTCGAACACATCAGAAATGAAGTCTTTTCTGTTGCATTGCTTGAAAACCTTCTATAAAATCTGAAGTTTGATTACATCATCACTTCCTTCAGGTGATACTTACTAATTTTCTTTGCATAATAATGCTTTATGATTATTGTCTTTGTATTTCCTCCTACTTTTGCTTCTTTTATGGCTCTATTTAGCCAGGCAATTAATTTGTTCTATTTTTATTGGACTTCTTAGACTTATTTCACTAATGCATCTAATGTTGAATGACTGATTCTCTATAACTGAATTAAGTCCATTAATTTTCAGTAGCTCTTCCAAGGTTGGTCAGAGATCGTTAGTAAAGCCAGCGTCTGCTGTTGGCTCAGGTGATATCAACAACCTAACTGCATTGACAGAAATGATATCTGGATCTATTCTTCGTTAGAAAGTAAATCTTTAGGTGCTGATGCAGGTTTAGAGGCATCAATTACAGATCCGAAGGAAAATGCAGTAAGCATTAAAAGTGCAGAGATAGTTGTGGAGTCTGAAGATGACGATAAAATACAAGTGAGCTTGCCTTGATACCAGTACTACCTACTATAGTTCAGTTTTGCCTATGTAATTGTTGTTTTTCAATATGCATTCTACATGTTGTGTATTTGGGTTGCAAATTTACAATAAACTTATGATGTATATTCGTAGTAAACCTTCATGTCTTTTTATTCTTTTCTGATAAGAAACATGCAAACCTTCATGTCATAGGAAATATCACGACTTAAACCTCAACCAGCCTGTACATGCTTGTTATTTTTTCTTGATGTGTAATTTGAAGCTTTGGCACTGTCAGAAGAAAATGGCTAATCACATATTTCGCATGGAATAATAAGAGATGAACTCCAGTCTATTTGAGTTCTTACTTATATGGTTGTCTATATGATGCGTGCACAATTTCCAGTTTTCAAGGATCTGAAGTTTCTTGGCATGGGTGAAGTGGGGAAATGAAACTGCAGTAATGCATAATGTGTTCATGTTAGGAGAACCACATGTTGGACATTGGGTTATTCACCATTAAATCTAATGTTATCCATTGGATTGGTTAGTATTAATCTGTCTGAAATTCAATTTATCAAAATTTCTCTTGATCACATTTTTCTTCGGTCAGGTAAGAGTGGATTTGTCGGGGGAGGAGACACAGGTGGTGTTCGATAAGATTTTGGCAAACTTAGCACGTACAGCACCACCAGTTCCTGGTTTTCGCAGACAAAAAGGAGGTAATTATTTGCACGATTTTCAATAGTGAGAACTTGACTGTGTTAGTCAAGCTCGTGGCTCTGCTTCTCCTTTTATGGAATACTTGAAGATGCCACTTGTCTCTCTTTATGGTTAGCAACTGGGAAAATTCATTTCAAGTTGATATATTTAACCAGTAACTATGTCAATTATTCAATTATTTTGTTAAATCTTTTATGTTCTTCTTTAGTTAGTAATAAAAATTAAACCATCCTCGCTGGAGGACATATTTGGCAAATAGGGTTGCTGACAAATTACTAAGAAAAATGCTGTCTATGCATTAGCTAATCTATTTTGCAGTACAAAACCTTTTGCTTTTAGATGGCAAAAAATATCAGACAAAAATAAAATAAGAGAAGCTTATCATGATCCTATAATGCTGTCAAAGTTTTTTCGTAGAAGCAAGCAATGTGAGCGTGGTCAACAGAAAATCGTCTATTATTTTGTCCTTATGGTTGAACATTTCTTTCTTTCATAGGGGGTGATTGAACTTGTAGATGAGAATTTTGAAAATTTAATGTGAAGGCTTTCTACCAGTTTTCATCATCAGATTAGTATTACAAAGGATTTCCTACTAAGGATTCTTGGTGAAGATCGAGTAACCAATTTCGTTATTCAGGAGATAGTTAGCACAACTTTGGCTGATTATGTGAAGAAGGCAAGTCAATAGTATTACTATTTAGTGTGTATCTACTTGAAACTGCTCAACCAACCTAATTTGTTGGTTTGATTATCCATTCCACAGGAAAATCTGAATCTGAAGGACAACAAGATCAACACCACAGAGACTGCTGAAGAGCTAAAATCGTCGTTTACCCCAGGAAATACTTTCGGATTCAATGCTACATTAGAGCTTGAGAAATCAACTGAAGCGCCCACTTCTACAGCTACTGAATAGTGTATGTACTCCACGTCGATCTGTTTAGCCGACTTGGGATTTTGAAACATGGCACTCTCCTTCTGGGGGTCTTTGAAGATACTCCATCAATACAATCTATTCATTTCACAAATTGTCTGGTGCCAAGGACAAGCAAAACATAAAAGAAAGCAAGCAAAATCCATTGAAAAAGATTTAAAAAATGGTTTAACTGTGAATATACAAGATAAGATCAACTAAAACTTGAAGTTCTCAGCACCACCAAAACCCCATAATTTAATGACATTTTGTCAGAGCAAACCACGACAACCACATAATACCGAAGAATCAATTATTACCAACCAACCTACATGGTACGTATACACGTTGCATATACACGTTGCACTTTACAAATATACAACTTAAGTTACATTAGAAACCATATATAGTGAGGTATAATGAAGATCAAAGAGATCAGCAGCACCTGAGGAATTTTTATGAAGTCACTTGGAAAATCAAGATACATGCTACAGAAACATCAAAATGAAAATAGTTAGCTGTATTTCGAGCTTGCAACATTTGCAAAGCATGTTCAACACTAGTTGCTCCAGACCCGAATCATTTTTCTTTGGACATATTAGTCGGACATTTGATAGATCAATGATTTGTCTCTTAAAATCAAGACCATGTACACACGCTGAAGATTAAATTAATAATGAAGAAGATTGATATAGAACTCTTGTATGTCAGTAACTCATCTAAATTGAATTTGACAGACAGTAAAATTTACAAACGAGGGGATAAAAACAAGAGAGAATCACAAATTTTGTTTATGGGTCACTGGATTTTTCAACTGGCTAAAACCCTCTTCGGAGAATTTATCAATACAAATATCCAATCCATTTTCTTTCAATCATTTCCTGCAGATAAAATGACCTTCCAATGATAGAATCTGCATGTAAAATTTTCTGCAAATTCAGGTGCGACTTATCGATTGAATTTCTGAATTTGGCAGAACCACCATCCAAGATACACGAAAACAATTATCTGAATCACTGTCTTTCAAGCTTCTTCCACAAATAAAAAGCCTTTCTAATGATGGTATCTGGAGAAAATCCTTCTGCATAAGCACTGATAGCTGTCAAAAGGCTTGTGAATTTTTCCCCATTATCCTGTGTTCATAACATCCATGTTTAATATATACATCATCATACAGAAATAGTTATGAAGTCATACGGAGTTTTACAGATGCACTAAGGGCACATTTTTTTACAATCAATGAGACATCTCAAGCAGAAGCAATCCAAGGTTGTACAATGCATATGCCACACAACCATTAATTCTAAACTTCAGAGGTGCAGATGCATGCAAATTCTAGGTTTAGTCAGACTAGTGATGGTTAGAGTTTTATGTGTCCATGAAAAACTGATCCTAAATGGCACCCAAATCCTTCTTTCATTTGCTCTACACAGCACCTGTTGTATGGTAGGATCTCACCATTACATGCATCAGTAGTGCGTCATGATGAGTAAAGGTCAAGGTTCAAGATCCATCATGCTAAGTCCTTACTCAATCTGTTATTAACAAAGGAAAATCCCTTGGCTGCTTTCTAATAAATAATCACATAGGACAAATGGAATAATCACCAACAACTTTTAGAGTGTATTGAATAAACTCCACAAACTGAATGGCTGAACAAACTTCTCTAATGCATTAACCATCCGAGTATCAAACCTTGGGCCAAAACAATAATCCAAAAGGCAATTTCACTTAGCCAGCCAGAAGCCATGGGAACCCCGATGGAAATATCAAGAAACATAAGACTTCATGTGACATGCTGATAGTTGACAGAAACAGCTGCTTTTACAGATTCCATACGAACCTCTGGTTTCATAAAAGTCAGATCTTCGGTGGAAAATGGAACCATGTAGAATGGAAGATCAGACCGTAGCATGGCCTGCATAAAGTAAAGCGTGATATATTAGCTTTGAGAGTACGAGATTCTAAGAATGATTGATAACTAATGCTAACATACGCACTAGTTCTAATATATTCTCCGCCCATATGGTAGCATGCATTGTAAAAAATATGACACTTGCACAAAAATAAACAAATAAATAAAAACAAACATACATACCAGATTCTTGCTTAGGAGAGCCTGCTCAGCATTTGACGTCAAGGCCTACAAGAAGTTCACATCAGTAACTAAAACTACTGGATTAAATGAAAATGCATAAATGTACAGAATACCAAACAAACTACTGTAATGGAGATTATGAACAATCTTTATTCATCTTCCTTCTAGTTTCTTTAATGTTTTTGGGATGGCGCTTTAAAAGCAAAAGCAGCTTCTCAGTAGGGTACCGGGAATGACAGCATATTAGTATCTCATCTCCATTACAATAGTCCTATTATTTCCCCAAAGTCTTTTGGCCATTGGTATAATAAATCTCTACCCATTTCATACTTGTGTATGCACAACATCTTTAATATTTATGTGTAATATGAATAAACTAAAAGAAATACTACAAAGTCAAGATCTAAATGGTATTCTACAACTACGTTAATCCACAGTGCTCGAAATAAAAGGTTTTATCAGAACTCTCATAATTTAACTTTCATTTATCTCTATCACGAGTTCCCTCTTCCTGTAAAGGATTAAAAGGAGTAAAGTGGTATACACTTTCCTCATCAACAGAATATTCTTTGAATTGTAATAACAAGAACGGCACGATAGACCAGCTGCAGACAAGATAGAAATGGATCCTCCCTGCAGAGTGGACAGATTTACAAAAATACTAAGCTAATACAGCTGAGATGACAAAATTTAAATCTGTTAGATAAAAAGTACTGATTTGGTGAAAAAACCAAATAATAAACCATTATAACTAGAGCTGGACAAAACTCCCGAATCGAACGGTTATTCTTAAGTTAAATACCTGAACGAGCATTCGAACCGAGAACCGACGGATTCAGTTCGGTTCTAGATGAAGAACCGAATAAGAGCTTAATCTCCCTAATTTTTTTAAATAAACCAAATTATTTTATTTTTTCTAAATAAATTTGCTAACTAGTTAATTTAGTTCAAACCCAAAAAAATATGATTTACTATTTCTAATTTTCAGTTCAAAGCCAACTTAATCAAATTGACTTAAGGTTTATACAAATCTATTACTCTACCGTAGTGTTATTTCTACCGTTCTAGAAAAATCGTATTGAAACTCAACAACGCGTCTTAATTATTTTGAGTTCACTATCTTCCTATTCCTGTGATTTTAACAAGCAAATCTATGAATTACTCAGTAAAGAGAGACGCAAAAGACACATAAAATTAGACTACGTTATTTTATAAGAGCTAAGACTAAACATATCATTAGTTAAATTAATATAACTTTGTAGATATTAAAAAAATTTAATTATAATACAAAACCTAGGAACCGAATAGAATGGAACCGATCCTGAACAGTTCCATAATTAAATTTGGACCCAACGGTTTCATTTACTAAACACATGAAAATTTTGGGTTGTTTCAGTTCCAACGAGAACAGAACCGAATCGGACCATATCCAGCCCTAATTATAACGGCAATAGCACTCCAAACTAACTGAAGGTATTATTAGATGTTTAGCACTCTCAACTTAATCTTGACATAACACTGCATTAAGGAAGAATGGGGTCATTGTTCCAACAGTTACATTTTCTCCTTAGTTCATAGCAGCTAAATAACCAAATTAGAGATATGTTAGTTGTTCAGTGTTCAGCACATGTAGCATATCAATGATGTTTGTGAGAGAGACTTGTTTGGTTTGGCTCTCTGTTTTCATTCAAGTCTTGTCTATTCATGCAAATTTTTCCATTCATTTAGAACTTGTGAATTGGTAGTTCTGAACGTACTTTCATCAGTACACTAATGTAAGATGCTAATGTGCTTCTCTAGTTGGGTTTGGTACTTTGGACCTATCATGATTCATGACTAAGGTTGTCTACATTAAGTCAAACATTTGTTCTAATACGAGGTACCTTGACATAGATAATTGCAGTCTTGAATTTTTTTACTAGATTGGCCCCTTACAGTTCATAGAAATTTGCTTTAGAATTTTTTAGAAGAAATAGTAGACTAACAAGACATTCTCCATAAGAGTTAACAACCTTCCTGATTCGCTCCTCATCAACTTGTTCAACACACTGCAGCAGGTTTTCCAATGTACCTATCCATACAATAAAGGACAAGCAACAATTTAGCAGGTACTGTAGTGTAAAATAACGTAGAAAATCAGAAGGTGAAAGGCTAATACAAAGTAATGAATAGAAGCATAAGAAGTGAAATCAAAGGCCACAATTTCACACTTGGAAGGATACAACACCATGTTCTAGACGGCTTTATGAAGATGTCTCATGAACTGTTTATTTTCTGGAGTTACAATAGTTATGGAATTTTTTAATGTCGCGCGTATGACCATATTATAGCATATTCAGAGGGTACATTTTTGGTGAGATTTTCCATTATGTTACAAGAAGATGAAATTACAGAATAATTTAGGAAGGAAAAAAAAATGGAAAATTCTTTAACAGAAGTCACTACCACTTTTTGGTTATAAGGTGGTCTAAGTCGAATAATATTTCCAAGATATAATTATCACTAAAGCACAATCCTACTCATGCTCCTTTGCTACTGACTACTGTGCACAAATGTCCTCTGTTTGCAACTCCATCAGAGCATCAACTAACAAGTGCTTAGTCCATCCATCGAAAGAAGGAATGGGTCGACCAACAAAGTCTCTTGAGATGAACAGATGGTAAGGAACTGAGATAGATAAATGAATGGATTCAAACAAAATGCCAATTTACTGGCAGGGTTTTTAGAGGGAGAAGGAATCCAGAGTTTAAACCTAACAGTTCTAACAACTCAATTGTTTCTCAGCTGGGGCCTTAGCGATAAGAATTGCTCAGTTGCTAAACACTTGGATAGTAGGATAAAAAGTATTATGTATTGGGAGCAGGTCAAATGAAAATTTGGCTTTGAGAGTATAATGTATCTAGAGATTGGACTTGGAAGAATGGTTTTCTATGGGGCAGGATTGTGAGGACCATACATGGTTTTGAACCAACAAGAATGAGCTTTTTAAAGGGAACGTTTGAGTGTTTGAAGCTTCTCGAAGTTTATATGTCATGGATATTCATTTTTTATCCAGTTCAAAAAGCAGGATGTAGGTACTCGGAATAAGATCTGGTTCTCGAAAGTTGTTTGAATTGGTAACACATATTTCTACTTCATTGTTCCCTATATTACATTATCTCTATTTACTGAGAAATGCCTCATTCATCGTGTCGGTTTACTTTACAAAAGTAGAATAGCTAGTTGGAAATTTCAATATCATTGAACCAAATGTGATAATTAAGCTTCTAGTATTATAAGCCAGTCTAAAATCCTTTTTCTTAAAACCTCACCCAGATAAGAGAGTGAGGATAGTAGATTCCACAAACATAATTTCCTCTAAATCACATTTCTAACCATTGGTTAATTTGTTTTCATATCCAATCTTCCAACCTTTTAAGTTCCTTTGGATATATTGTATCCCTTACAGAATGGAAATGTTTCGCTTACCGGATTTCTTTACGATGATCATTGTGATTTAGCTCCCAAGGAAATGTTCAAATACATTTATTTCTCCTTCATGGCATGTACACTGATAATTTGTTTTACAATTGTGAAGTTGCAAGGTTGCTATTAGGTAGGTCAAGTTTGCCATGGTTACAAAGAAAATGATAAGTTACATGTACATACCAAACTTTGTAATCAATTGCACTGCATGGACATTTCCAATACCTTCAACTCCTGCACTCAATTCAAATTTACCAGCTTCATCAAATTACCGTATCGAGAATAAGTCGCAACTATCAAAAAGAATATTTGGATCCATCAAATAAGCTAGAAATTAGAAGAAGGAAATGCACTTGCCTCTCTGAACATTTAAGATTGAGGGGACAAGAAAAATGAACGATTTGCAGTTTAAAAATGGTTGCATTTCACAAGTCGGGAAGAAACTAAGTTCTCTGTTTGTTAAATTTCAAACTCCGAGAACAGCATATAACTTTTAACAACAAAAATGTAGTGAAAAAACTTCAGGATACTATTCTTTAAGGCAAATGCTACAATGAAAGTATGGTTTTCCAATTAACTTGTCCTTTACAGAAGTTAATTTAGAAATAAACACACACACACAAAAGCACCTGGTATATTATCAGCTTTGTCTCCCACAAGTGACATCACATCAACAAACTGAGAAGGTTCTAGCGTTCCATATTTCTTAGCAAAATCTTCCATGCCAAAGGAGACCATCCTGAAAAGCAATACTGGAAGTGTCAAGACTAAAAATCAGTTATAACAAGCACCACAAATTGGATCAGAGACATAAACAAAATAACCTTAAAGTGAATTTAAGTTGAGTCATTTATTTGATTAATTTCATTTATACTCAAGTACCCGGTTAACGCAGCTCCTCTGACCCAAAAAATAATAATTGATTAGAAAAGCTTCATCTTAAAATTGATTGGTATCAGGGTAAGAATTTCACTTGCAACTAAAGCTAAAATATATGGACTACTGGAGATGGCAAAAACTGCTATAGACAAAAAAGTTTCAGCTTTCCTCCCAGCTCCTGGGTGAGATAAATTCAATTTACCACTCATTTTTAACATAAGCTAATATGAATTAGCTAGCAAAAGTTGACTTATGTTGGCAAATGCTAACTGATGCAAGAACACACTAAATTGCCATGTATTTGCAACTTCAGTTACCAGCAAGTAAAGAATTTCGGATAACAAAATGTAAGTGCCATGGCTGCCTCCAGTAATCAAGTAATATACTCTCTTGTACACTAAGATGGAAGACATCATTTCTTTATCGATTTGCAGCCTGCATAAATTATTATGCTATCTCTACATGCGCATTAACTGTTTTCTTTTCTATTTTCATGATTCCTGTAATCATAATATGACAACAAATTTCCTCAGGCTCCATTATCAGACCCATGATACAAGACCATGCTTGGTGTTGAAATTTAAGTTGGATTTTTTTCTAGTTCAAAGACTCGATGCTAATAGTATAGCACCCTAAGTATGGGAGGAAAGAAAGGAGAAGACAAATGTAACAGCTGGAAAGAGAAGACGAGGAACAAAAAAAAATGAGAAAAGAGTTCATGCAAAAGTTTCTTCAGGCTTATGTTCAAAGTGAGGCCCATTCTTCATAAAAGCAAAGTGCATATTACATGCTGTAAGAAAAATCTCCATACACAAAAGTTTTAGTAAATTTCAGCAAGCATCACTCTGAGTCTGGGTAATCAGAGCTCAAGTAATTTATGATTAGTATTTTATATGTATTTCATCCACTAATCCAATCTCAGCAGCCAAAAACAAAATCAGTGGTTTAGATTGGGGGGAAGAAAAAAAATTGACACAAAAAGCCTGAACTTTCATGGATTGCGCTTTTTCCACTTTTCTTCAGCTCTAAGCTTCAGTGATTATCACCCTGGGAAGGATTGCTGTCTTTGTGCTTAGGCATGTGTCTGAAAATGCTTGAAAAACAAACTACCAGCAGAACCAAAGCCATATTACCCCCATATAAATGATAGGAACATGCATTGGGGATCTTTATGGAAGATGTGTTTGTGTGGGAGGGGAGGAGGATTTTCTATTGAAATTTGAAATTCAAACATGTTGGAGTTTGGACTAATGTGTATATACGGCAGGATATATTACAGTGCATGGACTACAAACAATGAAGTCAGATATTTTGGGAGAACTCGTTAGCAATTTAACAAAAAGTATGGATGTGTACATTAAGAACATTGAGGCAAGTAGCTTATACCACTTCTGGTTGATTTTCAAGTGAACAGCTCCTATATAGATTTTTTTTGGGTTGGGGTGGGGGGACAAAGTAATCAATTTCACAGATTCGCCAATATCTGATTTTTACTGCTGTTGCATTTTAAGGGAATCAGTTCTACCACTGAGTCCCATTCTTTGAAAAGACTTCATCAACGCGCCTAATTTAGTGTCACCAATAATTAAGTGGTATAATCATTCTTAACTATTTATGGTCATACATCTTCGGATTTAGACGAAAATATCAAAGGCATTCAAAGATCCATCAATGATATCTTGAGAAGAATGCCATTATAACTGTGCCAAATTTCATAACATAAACTGTTAAATTAAATCAAAGGGAAACGCTAACTCGAGTCCACGAGGAGCAATCCTTAATAGACGCAATGAAGGAGACAGAATCTGAAAAAAATCCTTGTCTGGGGAGACAACTCGCACCTGCACCAGTACAGAGCAAAACATGTACAAGAACACTCAGAAAACAAAGTACATCCCCCAAATAATCCACTAAGAATCTATAAGTGAGTGCAGATCTTTTATCCCAAACATTGATAAAATCAAGTTCACATTTAAATAATAGATTTCTAACAAAATCAAAGCCCCTGGTACTCCTCTCATTCCCCAGATAGTCAGCATAATGCAAAGAAAACTCATTTTCCAAGTATTTGGGCAAGTCGTCGTTTCACGGGGTGCCTTTCTTCTTGGCACAGAAAGGGACACCGTGCGGCAGTAGTCTGCTCCGCTAGACTACCTTCCGCCTTTTCTCGATCGCGTCGGGACGAAAGAAAATTTGATTGCAATTTTGTAGAAAGTTTACAATTGAGAATTTGAATACATTGAAAGTAAATTGAACATTGATTGCTGAAAACTGAACATTACAATTGATGAAAGCAGAAAATTACAAATGCTGGTGCAGGGGGCGGACACCAGTGAGCTTGAAAGATTTTTGAATGACTAATACCCCCTATAATAGCATTCTGAACAAAAACCCAAGTGACGAGAGTAGACGTTTAAAAGACGAGGAATCATACTAATCTTTTACCAATATCAGAGCTATTTTACAATTAAAATAACTATTACAATGAAACGAAAATTACAACTCAAACTTGAAGTAATATTTACAACGTGCGGCCGAAGTTGGGCAAACTGCGGCTGCGATAGTGTCAAGGGGCTAAGTAAAGCTGCGGTCCTTGACATTCTCCCCCATTTGTTTTGGCGACGTCCTCGGTGCCATCAATGCATGATACTATTCAATTAATGATTTGAAGGCCCCGAGATCTTTTTCTCTTTCCCAAGTATTCTCCTCGCTGCTGCATCCCATCCATTTGACCAAGTACTCCTGATGATCTTTTCTAGAAGCCTGAGTGATTCGATGGTCAAGAATAGCTTCAGCAACCTTCTTTCCAGCTTTCTTCAGTTCAAATACAAGTCGCTTTGGCTCATTTCTAGATGCGTCCTCCTTATCCGAAAAGTATGGCTTCAACACACTAACATGAAGGACCTTGTGGATTTTACACCATGAAGGGAGTTCAACTCTGTATGCAACTCTTCCAATCCTCTTCACAATGGGTAATGGTCCAATGTATTTTGGTGACAATCTTAAGTCCTTCCCTCTTGTTGGTTTGTAAACATTTCTATCGGGAAGCTTAACCATTCCCAGATCTCCAACATTGAATTCAATAAAACGACGCTTTAGATCTGCAGCCTTTTTATACCGTTTTTGAGCTTTTTCAAGATAACTCCGAGCAATTTCAATATTTCGTTTCCACTCTTGAGAAAAAACTCTTTGCTTGAGGGGACTTGGTACTTCGTTCAATATCCACTGTATGAGGGAGTAGCGGTTGCTGGCCAGTAACAATCTCAAAAGGACTCTTATTGGTGGAAGAGCTCTTTTGGGCATTGAAGCAAATTTGGGCCGCATCCAAAAGTTTTACCCAGTTTTTCTGCGAAGTAGAGATAAAGTGCCGAAGATATTCTTCTAGCATAGAATTGAAGCGCTTCCGTCTGTCCGTCAGATTGTGGGTGAAAACTAGAACTCATGCTCAAAGTTGAACCAAGAAGTTTGAACAACTCAGTCCAAAATATGCCAGTGAAACGAGGATCTCGATCACTGACGATGTCCTTAGGCAGCCCCCAGTATTTGACAATATGTTTGAAGAAGAGTTGAGCTGTCTCTTCCGCAGATACATACTTAGGCGCTGCAATGAAAGTTGCATATTTTGATAGACGGTCCACCACGACAATGATAGTGCCAAAATCCTCAACTTTTGGCAACCCAATAATGTAGTCCATCGATACACTTTCAAATGGCCGGGATGGAACGGAAAGGGGCTCCAGCAAGCCCGCCTTTTTCTGATGATCTGCCTTATCTTGCTGACAAATAAGACAAGTTTTTACATATGTTGCAATGTCATCCCGCATTTGAGGCCAGTAGTATGCACGTTGTAGTAGTGCAC